AGAGAGAGATGTTTTGGGGATGGAGGGGCATGGTCTTTCCATGGGGTTCATGCTCTCTGGAGGGAGTTATACACCCGGATTGTCTGCTATTGCTGACAACACCTGAAGCAAAATTTCTGGAGGGTGTGCTTTGTGTAATCGCTGTTGTTTAGAATTTTTCTTATTATTTTGAAGACTTCTGTTGTCTTTAATTTCCCCTACAACTAATAATATAGAATTATGGCAAGGCACATGGCATATTTTTGCCTTTTTTGTTCTTTGAATTAATGCTCCCTCCACCTTCCCATGTATCGTTTGTCCCCTGATGGAGGTAGGGAAGATGTCTCTAAAAGATTGAGTACCCTGGATCTGTTGTGTGAAAACTGCAGCACGACCAGTCTTTAAAAAAGGCCAAACCCACCATCTGGGCTCCATGCACCCAACTGGGGTCTGCCCGCTCTGAAGCAGGGTCATGCTGCGCTGAACACCCGCAAGGCCGTGAACAGGGGGCTCCCTGCCACCCCGGGTAAGGTCGTGTTGCTGACATTTTAATTAGCATTTCATAACTAATTGCCTGGCCACAGCTATTTTGTTATCAATTAACATAGTCCTGAATGTCAGGAAGTAACTGTATCTCTCTAACTCGCTAAGGCTGCCTTCTGGGTCTGTGAAATGGCTGGATTTCCTCACAGGGATGGATTACATGTTTACATCTCCCCTTCTGCTGGAGTGTCTAGTGAGGATGACCCAAGGAAGCAACAATAATGTCTTTATGTTCCCTCTCTTTCCTGTGTCTCGTGTATGCTATAGAGCAGAAAAAAAATCCCTCATATGTGAACTTTTGGAGCAGGCTGGAAGACACCCACATTGTGGCCACTGGACTGTCTGAATCCAAAAAGTTAGAGGGAAAAAAAAAGTTAAGCAACAACATTTGAGAGCCTTTTAAGAACGGATACTTTTCCAGACATCAGGAAATGCCCTTAAATGGATGGGATAGTCTCAATGATCCTATCAGTCCAGAGAGCATTGCTGTCTATTGCAGGATATCTCTACCATCAGCAGAAGGTCTCACACCATGCTGACTTGCTCTAATACTGTCCAGCTTTTAAGGTCTCATATTCTGGGACATGGGACTTTCCAGATTAAGATAAATATGACCCACTTACAAAACTAAGCATCCCCTCTTCTGAGCCTGAAGAGCCTACAGCGTGGATGGTGGCTTTTTATCTCTTTGTGTGGGTGAGGGAAAAGGAGTCATTGCAGTTCTGTTTTAGATAGTTACTGATTGAACGGGCCATGGGGAAGGACGAGTGAACAGAGGGCTCTGTGGCATGACCCTGCTGTTCATCACAGGCGTGCCTATTCTATATGTGCAATAAGGTGAACTCATCCTGTCTGCAGACCGTGGCTGCTCATTTGCTCACTTGGGCTATAGGAAAGGCAGAGATTCTTTAAGGAAGGTTTCTATCTGCATAAAAGCCAGAGCAGCTGAGAAGGGACAGTGCAGATGGTGCTAATTTCCAGAGGCCATATGTTTGGAGGGACCCTGGGTACCCCCACAAGAATTCTTTGTTTTCTCAATGTTCATTTTCAAAGGTGCTCTGGAGGTCTCCTCTTTGCAGGAGGCCGCTGCTTCCTCCCACTCGTCCACTCCTGACACGTTTGCTCCATCCCCTCCTTCATCCCCCTGCTGCTTGACAAGCCCCGCAGCTGGATAAACAGCGATCGCAGTCGCTTACAGCCCTCCAGTGCCTTTCAGTGAGACGCCAGCATGGAGAGATGCTTCCTGAGCTGCCCGTCGTGGGCGGACAGTTGTGCTGCAGCCTGCACACCAGCACCAGCTTCACTCTGGTCCTGGCAAGATCAGGTTCAAAACACACGGGATCTGGAGGTGCTAATTACAAATGAGGGATCTCTTTTATGTGCAACGCTGAGGGATTTGGTGATCTAGGAGCTCTTGGTCTGTCTGTCTGCCTGGGCTTAGCTATGAAACAGGCTTAGAAATGTTCACAGTAGCTTTGATCCCTGCTCATTTGACTCATTGTCCCTTCTCTGCTGGCTGTTTATGGAAAGGGGATCTAGCTCATCTCCTAAGCAGCACCGCCTCCGTCTCACCCCAAAAAAGCCTGCTGAAAACATGGGAGAGGAGGAACCTCCATGGGTGTGATCTGCACTTGTGGCTGTTGAGGTGGTTGGCTCTTGGTTGTTTGTGGAGATTTTTGGAGTTCACCTGGACCACCAGTGGCATCACAATGACTCAGCTGCAGTTCATGTTGCTTCCATGAAGGGTCCCATGCAGCCTGGTTGACTTGTAGGTTTGCTCCCTTGGCTTACATGATTGCCAGCATCTCTGGCCGGGCTGGGGCAGCTCTGCCGGACCCCTGGCCAGGGGCAAGCCCGATGCACTGCACACAGCATGGCTGGTGTTGCCCGGGAGAGGCTGGCTCAGCCTGGCCAATGGTGGTTAGAGTGATTGAGAGCGGAGGCGCGAGGATCCCCTCCCTCCTTTGCCCGCTCTTTCCTCTAATGTGCGTTAAATTACTTCTTGTTATATTAAAGACTGAGCCTCTTTAGAAGCTCTGCTCGGCCTTCTCATTAATCACCGTGACAGAACATGACAAATCCACTTTGCTGAAGCATTATTTCACTTTGTAAAATCCCCGGTGCTCTGCAACAGCTTATCCAGCAGCACCTCCTCCCTCCCCACTGTCCTGGGGACATCTTCCCTCCTCCTCCTCCAGACCATGCAAGATGATGTTGCTTTTAGAAGTGACTATTTCAGAGGGCTTTGCTTTCTCCTGGGTCACAGGGATGGTCCTGGCATTTGAAGCCCAGTCCCTGGATGGTCTCTACCGATTGACTTATTGCAGCCAACACTGTGTCCCTGCAGCTCACTGATGTGTGTTTACACAAGACTGTGCAGCCCGCTCTTCACATAACCATTAATTTTATAGAGGGCATATAACAAAAGATGGGCCTCCAATATGCCTCCTGCCTTTGATCTGTGTGGGGTGTGTGGCCTGATGGGCTCAGAGCTGCCAGCATCGCTGATTTACTCTGCTCTGTGGATGTAGCTTCTGGAGCAAACAAAAGCTTATGTTTTCTCTCAGTGGTATTGCAATACCATTGCAGGCTGTGCTGCTGTCTGGAAGGGCAGGGATAGCTCTGGGTTTGCTTGCCTTCAAATTTTTCTTTCAACGTTAGCTAAATGGTTTGGTTGATGCAATCCATGAGTGCCCCAAACCTGTGCAGACGGGTAGGCGGGTTGTTAAGTGTCTATAGTGTTGCTAATGGAAATAAAGTCCGTGTATTGGCAAGCTATAAGCATTGACCTTGTGACAGGGTGCTCCCTCTGAAACAAAATCTCTCCAAAACAGTTCTCTCACAGAACTTTATTGTCATCCAAGCCAGATTCAGAAAACTTTTTTCTTCCCTTTTTTTTTTTTCCTCTCCTTCCAGTCTGGCATAAATTAGGATTCCTGGATCTGAGTCTGACCTTGCCCTTCAAAATGAACTCTCTGATCAGAAACCCTTTTGTTGTTTAGACTTGACATACCAAGTAGGATAGCGACCTCAGCACCAACACTGGTGATGGGTGATTGCCAGACCAACCAAATCCAGGTCCCCACTGAGCTCCTGTCCTAAATTTGGGTGGAGTTGTTTTGAGTTGTTGAGCCTTCTGGCTGTGAATGTTGACCTTAGCTCTGTTTGTTGGTCACCACGAAGGTGCTAAACTTTATTATTTTTATTTTAACCAAAAGGTACCCTGTAGAAGTAACATCTTTTGATCAACCATGATGAAAGCTGAGCAAAAGTCTAAGAATGGCATTTGACAGTGCAATTTTAGGTCACCAAAGCTTGATAGCCAAACCATTTGCCATAGTCCCTGGTATGAAGGAGTCATGCTAAGTGAAAGATTTCCAGTGCGGAAAATGTTTGTTAATCCAAAGTCTCCAATTTCTTTACGGACTTTCAGCCAGGGGCATTTTCAGGATGACGACGTATTCTGCAGGTGCTCACTGTAACATCTGCCTCCCGTGCAAAGAAGAGGTTGCTGCCTGTTATCTGTCAGCTCTCCTGTTATACTGCTTAGTCTTCTTGGCACTTTACGTAAAGAAAAAAAAAAAAGAAAACAAAGTGTCTATAAAGTATGGAAAATGTAGAAACCCCTGACAGTTGTATGGTGTGTCTTGCTTCTCCCACAGAGAGGAAACCACAAAATAGTGAGTCCAGGGGTTTATTTCCACACACACAATATCTGTCAGGATTTTGAGGAATTTTCTGTGAACTGATGAAAGAAACGTGCTGTTTAAGCCCTGATATAGACTGTACAATGGTACTGTACAATGATTCTGTACAAGGAAGATGCAGTGCTGCACACCAGCAGCTTCCAAAAGGCTTTCCAAAATAAAAGAAACCCGAAGGGTTTGAGGGAATTTCTTCCAAGAGGGCAGATTGGCTTCTAAGGGAACAGAGGCAGAAACGAAGGGGAGAATTAGCTTGTACTAAAGAGAAAAGGTACCTCATGTGTTTAATAGCTGTAGTTTTCTCATTAACCTTTCCACACTTTTGCAAGATTGTCGATGCTGTAGGCATTTTAGCAGCAAAGGGGCTCTTGCTTCCCCGGTTGCAAATTTCTCAACCCCAAGGGACTGGCAGGATGCGAGGGGGAGTTGCAGAAGTAATGACTCCCCCATGGTCAGTGGTGTCACACTCAGAGAAGGGTCCCCTGTGTGCCAAAGGACCAAAAATGAGTGTAATGGTGTTGAGAGCCTGACTTACATGGCCTTCCCAACACAGGGAAGCCTTTCAGAAGCTGCCTTGCACTCATGGTCACTGTAAGCAGTGCTGCTAATTTTGAGGATACCTTAATTAATGAGCAGGGAGTTGGTGAAAGTGCATCAGCAAATGGGATCAGGATCAGCCCCAAAAGATGGTACAATGTGTTTATCTAGCTCTTCTTGTTAGAATTTATTGCATTAAAGAAATTAATTATTGTTTATTTTTCTTTTCTCTTTCAGGTCCACCTGTAAGTACCAAACCTCTGTGGTTTTAGAAGCTGTTGACGCAGAGTTTGTGGGGCATGAACTAGCAAAGTCTCCTGTCTGTGGTGTCTGGTGCGGTAGCCGCCTTTGCACTCCCGGCACCCTGGGATCTCCCAAACAGCAAGTACTGCGGGTGTTTAGGACACGTATTGGGGTGGGATTGCCCTTGGCTGCATCATAGCTTCTGAGGGTGAGACGGAGGGAACACAGGGATGGGGACATGGCAGACGCAAGGGGCACAGATATCTGTGTGTTACCAGCTGGCCCCACGTACCCCAGGGGAATTGGCTATGTGTGCTTCATGTGCGTTGGATGCCACACGCTGAACAAGACATGTTCATGGGGAAAAAAAGGAAAGATAGATTGCAAACACGTGGCAGGAGCTGAGCTGTAGGGACTTGGTCCCTGCTACTCACTCGGGCTTCCAGAACTGTTGGGCCTTCAAGTATAGCTGCACAACTATCAATTTCAGAGTAAAAATTGTGTTGACAGCTTCCTTTTCAAATGTTAGCTAATGCAAAACCTCAGCGCAGACAATTTAGGCTTCAGGAAAAGAGCTAGGTTATTGCTGAAGTTTTCTTACAGCTATTAAGAGACCCATGCTGAACCAGAAGCAGCAATGCAAGGACTGAGGCCATGTATCGACATCTCTCAGGATTATAAAGAAACGCTATATTGTCTCTAGCACGGTCCTTCCAGAGGAAATGGTTTATATTCATGTACAATAGGGTAACTATACTGTGTTTCTGTGAGGGAACATGAGAAGTTAAACATACGGTAGTCATCTTTTGTCTGTTCATGCAAAAATGTCTTAAACAGTTTGCAGATGACGTTCTGAGGAGAAGTAGTTGCTGCACAACCTATTTTCCCCTTTCATCAAGTCGAAATGCTATAGACTGAACTCCCACAGATATATGAGCACAGCCTGATTTAATGACAACAGTCTTCCAAAAAGTTGCACCTTCCAGGCCAAAAGGTCTGAAAGCGTTTTACAGCTGGAAGCCCTGATCCACGCAAACCTTCGGTGATAGCTTATCCCAGGGGCTTTGAGGACTGGCCGCTGAAGTGGATGTATTTCAGGTTAGCTTTGGATTATTGGGAGGAAAGCACTGCTCTGGAGGGGGCTGCAAGTGGAATCTGTCCAGAGCTGTCCCTGCCACTCCACCCGGGCAGGCACATATCGGTGTTAAAGGGACGGGGCACAAAATCGGTAGTGGTGTTGGCACTTCTATTATCACCGTGAGAAACTGGAGAGAAATCAGTAGATTAACACAGACATCTCCTAGAGAGCAGTCTGCGCCTTTGCAGGGTGAGGAAGACGCACACTCCAGGCTTTCGCTGCAGCAATAAAGGTTAGAAACTTAATATTGTAATGAAAGATTGAAGTCTGGCAGAAACACATGGGACCACCAGAGAAGTGCTGACAATATATGCTACTGTATCCCAGCTTATTGCGACCCCTGAACCTGTCTCCGCACGCAGACTTTCGGTACAGGCCACGAGGATTGCTACAGCCAATGGAAATAACAAGAGGAAGTCGGGCAGACCAAGCGTCGTTAGCCAAGGTGGAATTTATCTTGGGCTAACGGCACCCTTGTCTCATTCAGGACCTCTGAGGTTTCTGATCGGCTGGCGAGCAAGACTGGCTCAGTCACTGTGAGCAAAAGTTCACCGCTGCGGAGTCAAGCAGAGTCTTCCATGTCACCATAGGAAATATTATCTCGTGATTAAAACCGGATGGAAACTCAAGTTTATGAGCAACAGACCTGAGTTCCTGCCTGGCTATCCATACGCATCGTTCTGGATAGCAACCCCAAAGCACTGATGACCCCACATCTCTCTCCTGGGTTTCTTTCCCAGCTTGCAAAACACAATGTGCCGGGCACCAGGGATTAGCCCCTGGTGCTGGTGTCAGCTTGAGTGTGGGGATGGGCAGAAATACTCATTAGAAACGCGCTGAGTCCTTTCTGCTTGTAGTCTAGGACGACCAGGAGAAAAGCCAGGGAAGTGGATGAGCAACACCCCAGCAGCAAAAGGGGGCCTTCATGCTCTCCTCTTGCCCAACAGATGCTCCCACTGTTATTCTTGAACAATCAAGGCTTTGGTGAAGACAAGGCCACTCCGCAGTCCTGTAAGAAGTTTGGTGAGATTGGGACTAAAAGGGGCAAAGGAAGGAAGGAAATGATGAAATCGTGCAATAGTCCTGAGGTTCCCGGACTCTTTCACCGTCTGGACCACATCCGAAGGAAAAGATCCTCTCACGGACTTTTCTCTCCTATTTCTGAACATGCAACATTTCTGTGGCATCTGCAGCAATTCCATACATGAAAAAAATAATATTTAGCAGATGGAAGCTAAGGAAGAAAGTCAGAGCCTTGTAATTAGCTTGTTCTCCGTGGACTTGCAGATACCTTTGGAGCCTGTGTGGAGAGCTGTGGGTACAGCTGTACCGAAAGGAGCAAAAACTTCACAAACAGGAGATTAGGAAACCGAAGCAATCAGAGCTGATAGTCAAGGAGCTGTGGAGAGTTTTTTAACCATTCTGTTTCCTAAACTCTTACATGTGATTTCATCTCTTTATCAAGCCCTCCCTTCAGAGTTTGAAGCTAACTTTTGCCATTTCTGTGTATTTTGTTTCAGGGCCTTACAGGAAGACCAGGGCTCCCGGTAAATACTTCATTCTTTTGCTTTTATTCCCTCGTGCTCTCTGTCTGGCAGTACTTTCATCAGTAAGCTTCCGGGGTTTGTAAGCCAGGAGAAGGTAGCGATCTTGCATAGCAGACCTGACGTGGAATAGCATATTGCAAACAGGACATGGCTCGTAACAGAGTAGGGACCGCAGGAGCTTTGTAGGACCAAACTTAAGGGTAATGTAATCCCTATGAACCCTCTTGCATGTGGGAAATACACTACTTTTGAAGATGCCTTTGTCAGCTTGAGGTGCAGTGTGCAGTATTCTTGCCAATGGGGCTTGCTAATTGCAGCAGGATTTAAAAGGCCTAAGTCACTCTGGGACAAATGCAAAAGTCCGTAATAACAGTATCTGCATCTGAGATAAATAGTCATGAGTTTCGAGGTGACAGCTGCATGCTTTCCTGGCGATGGCTCCCTGCTCCCCAGGCTGCCGCTCACCTGGAGACTGCAACAGCCATATCAGGCAGTTTCCTAACGAACGGAATGCAAACTGTGCTGCTGGCTCTCCCCCCAACTCAGAACAGAGGCTGCTTGTTGCTTTCATGCTCCTCCAGCTCTGATGTGGGAGCTGCAGGCAGCTTTGCATGACTTCGTAACCAACATACATGGTATCATCCACCCGTGAGTGCTCTTTCCTGGCTCTCTGTCACAGACAACCTTTCCTTATAAACATCTGGCATTTATTTGCTGTCCTACCGGGAGCTCCTCCTTCGCTATTATTGCTTGGAGGGCTGTAATGCTGCGCAGTCGCATACCAGACACGGTGCCGTCATGTACCACTCCAACACCAGGTACTCGCTGGAGACCTGACACAGCTCAGCCCCGACCTCAGGCTCTTCCTGCTCGGGCACCAGCCACAGCAGAGCCAGGCGAAACAAAATCAGCTTTTACCTCAAACCATGAGGGAGATCAGCCTGAGCTCAGCTCTGGAGGAAAGCAGCATTTAAGGGACTAAAAGCACAGGGAAACTCAGCGTTATGTTCTCCAGCAGCCACAAAGTAATCCCAGGGCAAGATGCTGACACTGGGAGTTTTGCTCACTGCCGGCACACAGAGATAGGCAAATATTAGCGGGACTGAGAGCCTGCCTAAAACCCTAGAAGAAAGCAGTTTCCCATAATAGATCATCTACAAAATTTAAAATCAAGCAGCTGTTTAGCATTTCATCCATCTGCAAGGGATGCTTTTGCAAAGCATATATTGCTTTTCAATTTGTCAAAACATGTGCTGCATGGAAAGGAATGCCCCCATACCTCTGCAGAGGGAAGCGTAGCGGTTTGATGCTAGGCAATAATGCCCGAGTTTGGGATGCACAGCCAAAGCAGCCTCTGCGTACACCTGAGAGTTAGGTGCATTCCCCTTCCAGAGATTTCTGACTACATTCACACATGTTGGGACTGAACATGGAGGAAGGCACAAAGAGGTGGCACTGATGGGGCTGGTGTCTCCAGCTGCAGAAACCAGAAAACCAGGTTTGTGTCTACAGATGCAGGCAGCCACGGGCAGGGACATTCTGGTTTACATATGGAAACCCCAAACATTGCTGGAAACAGAACAGAGAGATTATTATCATGTCATTTTTGCAAAACAGAGAGTAAAAGTTACATGACCACTGAAGCCATAATCATCAAGAATCTTTCAGCAATTAGCCACTATCTTCCAAATCTGCACAGCCTTCAGTTTTGGTGACCAGAAATGCAGAGGGGTATTTTTTGGGGGTTTTTTTTGTTTGGTTTTTTTTTTTAAATTGCATAGTTAATTTTAACTGTAAGACACAGAAAACTGCATTGTAAGTGAGTGGCTGTAGAAAATCGCCACTGGTCTTATGTTCATGTGTTTACAAGGCTCTGTTCAGCTTCGCCTGACCCAAAGTCATTCCCCAAACTGCTGTTAGGATCGTTCACACCCTGACAATGCACTGGGAAGTATCTCAAAGGGGTAGAGGACACTGAACACAGCTGCTCATATGTCTTCTTCCAGACGTGCTTTTTCCTGTGTCAGCTTGTTTTCCCACATTTTTCTCTTGCTTCTGGACAGGACCGTATTTTCAAGTCTAAGAGAATCCTGTTTTAAAGTGATAACTCTATAAATAAATAGCTAACACCCAGATGACTTCGGTAAAGAAAGAGAAAAATGTGACAGTTGGCTACTGCAGTAAGCCAGTTCCCAGGACCTGGATTTTATGAAGTGTTGGAATTGGGATTACACTTTATTAGGCTGAAAACTCTTGCCCTTCTTTTGCTGCCTTAAATTGCCATATGTCATTTCTGTTGTGAGGTGTGCTGGTTTGTCATATGCATAAGTGAACTTGGTGGTTTACGTGTGTTCTTAAAGACAGGTTTGGGCACATGCAAACACACTTTCCTCTCTCTCTGCAACTTGTTGTCTCTCTCTCTCAAAATCCCTGAACACTTGCACTGCAGCACGAAGCTGCATCTGTGGCATAGCTCATTTGTGCTGGTTTATAACCTTGCTTTTGGCCAGTTTCCAACTGCCTCTGATTTTGCCTTAATTGCCAGGGAGACAAAGGTGCGATGGGGATCCCTGGGAGGCCGGTAAGTCGAAACCTCTTGCATGTGCCTTGTCCTCCCCATCCTCTTTCAACCCTCAAGATTTTGGGGGGGCTTTCAGGATGACCCTTGGTGGGTGTCAGCCTGAGAAAAGCCATTCTCCCTGAGCCCCACACCTGAGACTATCTCCTGGATGCAGCAGGGTGGCCAGGTCTACAAACTGCATATGTGCCAGGGTGTGTGTGTGGGGATGTTTCCATCCCCTCTGCTGCATTGCTCAGACCCTCATCTGGTTCAGCGTCCCCTCCCCCCCGGCTGGGTGCCTCCTGCTGCCACCTTGTGCACCGGCTGGGCTTGCTAACCGTGGGCTTGCTAACATGCACCCCCGCCTGCCACCGGCAGCTGCCCTTTCCAAATAACCCTGCCCTGAACGAGGGGCCACATCCCCTGCCTGAGCACTGTATTTTGGAGCTGCTCTTTGCTCGGGCATCCCAGGGTGAGGATGGGGAAGAGGGCTGGGGCAGGAGCTGAGACCACCCTACTCATCCCAGCCCAGTAGCCAGGGTTTTGGAGTGGGAGCGTGTGCCCTTGCCACTGATGCCTGTGTTTATCTCTCTCTCTCTCTCCTCTCTCTCTTCCTCCCACCCCCCTCCCCGCCCCTTGCACCCTCTTGCATGTGGCTGCGACGGGTGCCACTGACCCAGGGACTAAAAGGGCAACCTGGAGAGAAGGTGAGTTGGCTCCTCACAGCCCATAACGTCCCCGGCTGTCCTCTAGGGCCAGCCCAAACCCTTCAGTCATAATCAGGCTGCTGCAGCCAGCTTTGGGCTTTCACCCCCCTGGGCTGCCCCCTCTTCCCCAGCAGTGCGAGTTTATCTCCCAAATTCCTTCCAGGCCACTCAGCCTCCAAAGATGCTGTGTTTCTTGTTTATGACAATTTACTAACAGCATAAGAGCCAGTGGGCACATGCAGGGCTCCCCTTGAGGCTTCCTGGGTTTTAACTGTTGAGTTTCTTCCCTGCTGGCAGCCTCGCTTGCCCTAATCCCCCTGCACCTCCCCTCCACCTCCCAGGTTAGCCTGATCCCTGGTGCAAGCCGTAGCAAGTAGGAAAATGGCACGGCACGCTCCTATTTCTGACACAGTGGAACCTCTTTCTCCTAAGGAAAACTGATGGTATGGTTTAAGTCTGTGGGATACCATCTCGCAAACTGTTTGCGAATTGGTATTTTGTACCTCCAAAGAAGCGGTAGTTTGCAAAGCATCCTACTGCTGGCTCCCGTGTCTTGAAGTGTTTGACATTTCAGCGTTAGCGTATTTTCCCCAGAGCTGTGAGTACCTCCCACCCGTGAGAACAGCGGAATGGAGGTGTTTGGGGGGTGCGAGTAACTGAATAACAACATGTAGAAACTAGGAGTGATGAATATTCACCTGATAGGGGGATCATCCATGCAGGGTACTGCCATACCAGGCCCATTTGCTCCTATTCATAGGAGACAGAGATTAAAACACAGCAAGGGAAGGCAAGGTAGGACAAGAGATTCTCCTTCCTTGCTTTCAAGCTACTGCTTGCTCGTTGGAGCCAACCAACATTATCTAACAGACCAAGATTTCACCGCCTGAAGCCACCCTGCTTTTTCTCTGTGTGTCCTTGCATTTCTCTCTGGCCAAAGCTTTCAACATGAAGGGACAGCAGATAGATAGAAACAAACAAGGGAAAAATCACTCTTAATTGCCCATGCTTCCCCAAAGCCCTCCGTGAGAGTCCTAGGTCCTTGGCAGGCCCCAGCTTTGTTTTGCAGAGTGCTCTGCTCACTTGCAGGCTGTTTGGTTTATGGGATGCTCCATCCCAAGGCTGCCCAGCCCTGGGCACTTCTGGAGCTGCCTCTCAGGAATATACTGTGTTTTCCAAAGACAGGGACATGTCCTGCCCATCGCACGTCGTGGGTGGCTGGGAGCTGGAGAGGCAGCTGTTTTCTTTTCCAGCAAGGACTTTGCTGTTTTCATGCACATCCCAACAGAGTTTGAGAAGCACATAAGCATGGCATTTCTGGAGGCAGCCAGTGAGCTGCCCGCAGCTCCCATTTCCCTGGAGCCCAGTACATCCCTTCTTTTCTTTCTTCTGCAGGACACAGTCCTCCTGGACTCACAGGAAGGAAACAGTGAGGGTTTTCTTTTGCATTTGTAATGGGACAGAACCTCTGTTTTGCCAGAAAGTATTTTATGTGTTTATAGTTTTCCTTGCTGTGCAGTTTCCATTTTCTGGCACATCCAAGTAACTCCAGATGACATCTTTTCTCCCAAAGTGCAGGGCAAGAGCTGGGGGATGCTAGAATGGCAGCTGCCCCATAAGCCCTGAAAGTCTCACACCTTGAGCACCTTCATTTAACACTGGTCTTGATGGCAATATAATTGTCTTTGTATTTTCCTCTCCTCCCTTTCTCACCCTGTTTCCTCTCCCTTGTCTCCTGCAGGGCGCTCCAGGAGAAGCGGGCATGTCTATCATCGGACCCCGTGGTCCACCCGTAAGTGGCTTTTCTCTCTATTTTTGACTGATGCAGGATGTGGCCAAGTTACAGGAAAGACTTAGGAGGGGCAGCAAGATACAGCATCAGCTGGAGAGAGCAAAAACCCTGTATAATGTGGTTCCCATGCCGAGCCAGGCTTGGTTTTATACCACTATTATATACTATATATAATGAAATTACAGCTCATACCCCAAAACAAATGAGGAAGCCTTCCCTTGCAAGGAAACCATATTCCTGTATTTGAAAGGAAGAAGCATATTTCTTTCTTGCAACAGGGCTGCTACTACTTTTGCAGAAAATAAGCCCTTTGCCTGGCTGATCTCAGCCTTTGGTTCCATTAGCAGAGGATAAACCTCCTGATTTTGTAGGAGGATCAGAGCTAAGCTGGTGACTGGGGAACTTGCAAAGATGGGCAGTTCAGAGTTGTTCAGATGTCCTTGTCAAGTACCCAAAATCTTGGAAAATCTTTGACAGCACAGTTACCACTATCTGGAAAGTCCCTTAGCGGACTGGGGAGCCAAGGAAAGTCCAGCAAAAGTGTCCCTGCAAGGTGCAAAGAGTCAGCCAGACAAAACTTTCTGCAAGGATAGTTAAGGGTTAGAGCATTTACGTGCCCTAAATGCTGGATATTTCTTGCACTGAGGTTCAGCCATCAAGCCTCTGCTTTTGTGTGGATGTAGCCAGTCCTCCTCACTCCACCCCTGCACAATCTCCACCAGAGATTTCCATGAAAAAAGACCCAGAGACTCAATTCTATCCCTCCCAGGGGGTACTTCCGATTTTGATTAACCTGTGAAGAGCACCGTCCTTGACCTGCAGAGAGGATGGGCCGCTGGCAACTTTTGTTTCACAGCAGAGGTCAAGTGAGAGAGACCTAGGCAGTGCGAACACTTGGCTACATCTGGCTTTCCAATTAACTTTCCAAAAGCCCCATGATAAGTGTTTCTAATAAGAAACAGCTTTGCTGGTTCCCAGGCCCACCTGCCCAGCACGCTGGAGTTTGAGAAGTGGCAGGACCGAAGTTCAGGATACAAACAGGTCTCCTCAAGTGTTTTACACCCAGCAGATGGTCCCTGGCCACATGGCTGGGTGAGGAGGAAGGGCTGGCAGGTCTCTCCATGCCAAACTCTGAGTGAGACCACCCTGCTCCACAAGGAGCAGACTTTGGAGGGTAAATTTTTTGTTGTTTCTCACAAGCTGAAGCTCTTAGCCCCCTGGACAGTGTGGCTATAGTAACTGGAGAGAAAAGCCATCAGTCTCTGTCACTGTAGGTCTTGCAAACAGAAACAGGCACCACTGTTTTCTTGAAGGACACATGCCTGGTCTGTAGGACAATTTTTAATGTCTGCTTTGGTGCCGCTGCTCTGCCTCATTGCATTTGCTGCTGTTTGGGAAAGTGCAGAACGTGTTGCATCTCCAAAGCAGCAGAAAACTTAGATGGCAAATGATATTTAAAATGGGCTTTTGCCTACCCCTGTCAAAGCCCCGAGGTGCCAGGACTGGCACAACTCCGCACTTCCACCCCCAAAGTTTACTGTGAAGATGATCCAGTTTCCCGGGGAGCTGGTGATAGGTCAAAAGGATGGCTGAGCACTGAAGACAAACACGGAAACCCCGGCCAAGGGGCCACTCGGAAAGACGTGGGATGACAAATAGTTTCCAGATTTTTGTTTGGAGGTTAAAGTTTTCACTTAAGCTCAGAGCTGCTTAACTTCTGTCCAGAGAGGGACAGTGCACCGATAGTGGCAGAAACAGACGGTCTCCATGATTTGGCAGCTCCCAGGATTACATACTTCATATGATCAACATTTTAAAAAGAAGACAAGGAAAAACAGCCACCCAACAAAAACAGTCTCTTGGAATCGCTCGCTGTTGAACTGTTGTTTTGGCCTGATACCGTGCAAATCACTCTGCCGTACTCCAAGGAGAAAGAGGCCGCAGTTTGTAGTCTACAGAGGAAGCCAAATTGCACCATTTCCAGGTTTTCTCCCTAATTCTTTTTTTAGCACTTCTTGTCTGGGGAGGTGTCCAGCAGGGAACCAAAATTAATGAATTGTGGCTAGGCTCTTCTTGATTCTTGCCTTTTCAGAAACCAGCAGTGGACAGATCCTTTAATTTATAACCTATCTTCCCTCCTGGTCACTGGCCAACAGGACCAGGTGGTTTTCTATGTATCTTGCAAAGTAAAGCTGACCAAGTTCAACTTTGCAGAACTGAAAAAACAGTGCAAATGGGATTAGGTCCTGCTAGCATTGTGTATAAAAACACAAGTGTTCAGCGCAACACAAGGCATTTTGTGGTAGGGGTGTCCCTCAAACTCTGCAAAAAGGTTATTTGGCCCCATCCTCTGAAGGGGCAAACCTTCACTGAGTCTCTCTGCAGATAGAGCGAGGCTGGGGGAGACATAACCTGAAGGTGAAGGTTTTCCCTGCCAATGTGGCTCTGAGCTCTCTCCCCAGGGACTGTCATTACTTCACTGTGGAAAACCTCAGCCTTGCAGCCCAGCAGACCCGTCCCTTTCTTCCCTTTCCCTTTCCTCGGCGCCACATGGGATCTCTCTGGTTAAGGCAGAGTTGCACCCATGTGCATTTCTTTTCAGAAGCGAACCCTTGTTTATACGCAGCTCTTTCCTAGGAAACCCTTGTGGGACTCAAACAGTCCAGTCATGTTATCTCAAATTGCCTAAGAAAGCATTTTCTTCCCCAAAACAAATCATGAAAACACATAGGAAACCTGGGCTTTTTGGCATTGTAGCACGGCTTTTAGGGAAGGCAAGATGCCACAGCGGTCACTTGATGAGCGTGGTACAGGATTTACCTCATCCTGCTGTTCCTGTCTACATGGGTGTGCTTCCAGATCTGCTGAAGCCTGGTCCATATTGCTTCCTGACTTTGCTCATACTTTTTTTGGGAAATTGAGATTAAAAAAATTCTTAAGTGGTGTCTTTACTGGATACCCACAAATCTAGGGTAACTGTGACCTCGGATGTCACAGGTCCCAGAAACTGAAGAACGATGAAAAATAAACAGCCAGAACATTTTCTTTTTTTCAGTGTTTTTAAGTGGGTGATGAAGAAGCTGCCAAACACATCCCAAGGCAGTGTTTGCTGTACCTGATCCCAAACTGGTAGCCAATGCTGGCTAGCCAGAAAGAGGCGGGGGAAAGGACTTGGTGCTCATGTTCCTCTCATCACACTACCTAACTCTCCTTTTTCTCTTAGCTCTCAGAGTAAAAATAAACAGAAAAGGAAAAAAAAAATTCAAAATCATCTCTTCTCCAGAATTATTTGTGAGGAAAATAAATGCACTGGGACATGAGGTTGGGGGGGAGGAGGAAGAGAAGAGGGATGGCTGTATTTAGACACCAGTGACCTGTGAGGTTTGTCTTGCACAGAGCAGCACCCTGCTTTAAACGCCTCCGGTTTATGGCAGCAAGAATTGCCATAAAATGAGCTCAGCCTCTGGAATATATTCCAAAAGCCTAGCATATGGGCTAGGGACACCCATTTAATTAATGTAGAAACTTCAAGGAAACTGCTTGCAGTCCAAACTGGACCTGCTCCAGCATTTTCTTGGCCCTGTACAAATTGGAGCGGGGATGAGAGATTTCCCATCCTTCCCAAGACACTTTCCCGTTGGAGGGGAATTGGGTGTTGGGTAGCGCTTCAGAGAGTTGCAGGATAAATGGGCAGAGACTGGAGGAAAGGCTCTGTAGAAAAGACTTAGGGTCAGTTAAAATCCACTTCAGTTTCTCTAAACTGCTCTCTGTTTCATCCTTCCTAGGGACAGCCTGGAACAAGAGGTTTTCCTGGATTCCCGGTAAGTGTAACTGCTAGTTTATGAGGTACGGGTGTGCAATATTACTAGGAAGTGTCATTAGTGCTTGCTGTATCTCATCATTTCTGTCTGAAACCAAGGACCTGATCTGATATCACTGGAAAAAGTAATTTTTTATTCATTTATTTTTCTTTCTTTTTTTTTTCCTTTTAAATGATACTTAGGGAAAAAAACAAAACCAAACCACACAACTCCAAAAGGAAATTAATTTAGAAAAAACCCCCAAGTGTTAAAATAACATAGTTGAAGCCAGATCTGTCCAGTAAAAGAAAACTATCCTAAGAATACCCCCAAACAAAGAAAATAATGCCTAAGTAGGTGAAATTCCAACCTTAATTGAGTCTTCAGGTGATATTGCAATAGCTGTAAGTGCCTGTGATCCAAATGGGGCCCTGTGTGGTGCAGGTCAGCTGGGGACCGTGCTAGGCTGAACACCCTGGTCATGCCAAAGGGAAAGGACAAAAAAGCATTGCGGGGTGTGTGTGGGGGATTCTTCTCCAACACTGTTACAGATGGACAAGGGAACAGAAAACAAGTCCAGGAGAGGACAAAGCAAATTTCATTTCAGTCCTACAGTTGCTGGCAATGCTCTCTGAAGCATTGAGGCTGCTGGAGAACTCAAATGGTTGCTATTTATTCTTATGCATTTATCCTGGACAACTAGGAAGCCTAAGGCAAAAACAAACACCCCCTGCATCCCTGCTCCCGCCAGGCAGCTCAGCTGCTGCTCCAGGACACGCGATGTGCCAGAGCAGGTCTGCGGGGGAGACTCTCACGCCTGGAAAGCAGAAGGAATTGGCAGCCTCTGAGCCGTCTGACCGGGCTCTGTGGCTCTGCCCTTTGTGAAAAGGGGGGCTGTGAGCTGCCCCTGGGCTGAGGAGAAGCAGATCTCTCCAGGCCTTTGTGGTCTTTGGCTTTTGGAGGAGAAGAAAACAAATCAGCCCAGCTCATGAGAAAGTGCCGGGTGGGACAGTGCTCTGCGGAGCCTGTTTCTCATCAAATAGTACCTTCAAAATGCTGCCGAGATGTATGTCACCTCTTCCCTGGGACGCTTTTATTATTCTATCATTTGCAAAAATTCCTCTTCCCCCAAAGGTGGGTGCCTTTTTAAATCAAAGTCTTGAGAAAACTGCTGATTTTCCACTAGTTTTATAGGATGCTGCAAAATTTGAAATGCTGAGGGTTTTTTGCAAGTTGCCCGCGAATCCCTCCTCCCTTCCCTTCCCTTCTTGTGTCCAGCATTGCTGCTGAAATGGGCTGACAGTGAGCAGGTCTCTGCAGAAGCAATTGGGAAGCTGGACTGGTACCCAGTGAGCCAGGGACCTGCCAGATCTTGGCAGGAGGGCAGAGAAAGTCACCTCACCTCTGCGTCCTTTCCTCAGTCTGTGCAATTTTGTGACACATAGTGTTTGTTGGGGCAGGTGGACAGACACCCCAGTGAAAGCATTTCTCACCATTTCTCCCTTTTCTTTTTTTCTTTTTTTCCTTTTTTCTTTTTTTTCCTTTTTTCTTTTTTTTTTTTTTCTTTTTTAATTTCAGGGCCCTATTGGCTTGGACGGCAAACCGGTAAGCAAACAGCTTCTCTCAAGGCTTTCTGCCCTGCCTCCTGCTAGGTCCCACTGTCTTGCCAGCCTGTGTGTTATAGAGTAAGTTTTTAAAAGGATTATTTTGCAATGTCATGCACATGCATGGATTAAAAGAAAATTAGAAGGTTGGCAGGCAGAAGGATACCGCAGATGCCTTGGGGGAGATGCAGGAGTCAGGAGATTAGGGAAGGCAGAGTGTGGCTGCTTCCTTTCTAGGCAAATCTATAAAATAGCACTTCACAAGTGCAACAGCCTGGCTGCTGCACAGAAAGCCTCAGCAGGCACTCCCGCCCCGAATCAGACAGGCAGAGCAAGCCCCTAGGCACCAGCCCTCTGCCTTTGCCAACAACCGCATTTGAAGTCAACCCTATAGCTTCTTTCTCTTCGCTGCTATGCTGCAAAGAGTTGTAGCAGAAGAGGAAAGGACCCTAAAGACCTCCATGCTGTACTTAGAGCCTCCTTATAATCAGCTTTGTAGTAGAGAGAGATCTAAGTTCCTCCCATCCTTCAGAGACCTAGGCACAAATATAGCTATTTCCCTATGAACTCAACTAACACGAAACCCATAGCTCCAGGCAGTCCCTTAGCCAAGTTCTCCACCATGCTTCCTCTAGCCGTACTGTAATGGAGAAGGAGCTGGTAGCACATACCTCTGGCACCTAATTTCCTACAGCAGGACTCTGTTTTTGTCATGAGGAACATCACCCTCAAGAGAGACCCAGCAGTGTCTCTCTTGTACTGCTCTGGGGACGCACACATGAGCCCCAGCAAGGCACAACGCGCTGCACTCAGCTGAAGCTGCCCTGCCAGCCTGAGGGGGGATTAACCATGTCCCAGCCATGCCCTACAGAGTTCTTGTGCCCCGTATTCATCCTCCAGAGCTTTGTTCTCAGCGTTTTGGGTAGCAGGGAGCAGTGTCCTGTTAGGTGTGTGAGCAAAGCTCCACATGCATGGCATTGTACCTCCCTTGACCAAGGTATAGTAAGTGTGGGCACCTCCCAAGTCCAAGGGTAAGTTGGTTAAGCCAACATCTTCTAGGGACTGCAGTGACTGAAGCTGATGCATGTTTTCTTTCTTTTGCAGGGTCATCCTGGACAGAAGGGGGACATGGTAAAAAAATATATATGTTTATGGGTGACGGGTTGGTTTGAAATGACGTTGCCTCTCAGCTGGAAACGAGCTCATAGGCAGGGTAGCGACCTTAGTTCATCTAGCTGCGTCCCTAATTCTGTAACTTCATAATAGCAATGCTGGGATGTACATCCGTAATTTTTACATTATGGCTATCAGATTCATCGTGTCACAACAGCAACTCTCTAGTTTAGTTATACATGGAATATGTTTTCCTTGCAGTTAGCAATTATGTTCTTTAAATATACTCTGGGAGCTGACATTTTTCGTGGTTGGCCTCATAGCAGAAGTAAAAGTTGATGGAAAGATTTCTGAAAACCCATCTGGCAGCTTTCAACTTATCTAACAACAACAAAAAACATATTTTTTGTATTAAATATCTGTCTTTCCCCTCTTGAAGCTCTGTTTCCTATGTGCATCGTACTAAAATGCTTTTGGTTGAAAATGATAAACTTAGGCCACACTTGATGGAAACCCAAATGCGGTCTTGTTCCTCTTGACATCTCTGATGATGAAATCCCCAAACACGAGTATGCCAAGCTAGCAGCTCTGTAGTCACCTTCACTCACTGAAATGCTGAGTGTTTTCTTCTGCTAATTCTGTTTCTCGAGCCTGAGTGTTAGTATAACCCTCTGGCAAGCACATGTTGAAGATCCCTCTTCCCAGCTCCTCGACAGAAGGGTGAGCTGACATCCCCCTGTTGCGCAACCCTGGCTCAGGCAGTTGCAGCTCAGGCTTCAGCCCTGGCTGCTTCTGGTTCGATCCCAGTGCGTCGGCCGAGGAGACGCGCTGTCAACTGAGGTCCTGGGGACAATAAGGGTGTGTTTTCCTGATGATTTTTCCCCTCTCCTTTTAATAATTCCCCCCTGTGGTGCAGCCAGAACATATGTGCATTTTCACTCCCCCAGAGTAACAAAGGGAACCCAGATCTCTCTTGGAAACTTGTCTCCACAATTGTTTTAAAAACTGAGTTTCCACCTACCCCATATGCTGAGAGTTTTTGTCGTCTTGTCACTGTAAATGGGAATCCATCTCACATTCATGACCATGTGTTTCTTTAAAGGGTGCTGCAGGTCCCAGGGGACAACCTGTAAGTATCCCATCTCTTGCAATTGCACCTCCTTCTAATTCCTCTCCCCTTGCCTGCACTGAACTCTTTCATTTACTGAGGGCTTTTTTTTAATCACTTTTCTTTTATAGGGACCCCCAGGACAAAAAGGAGAAAAGGTAATTTTTATGGGAAATGTGTTGAAAATTAAATGGAAGAGGTGAGCAAGGAAGGGACTTGATGGGCTTGGTGCTGCTCGGTCTGACTTTGAGCAGCCGAGCAATAGAGCAAGAGCAGAGGGCTCTGGGGATAGGGGACAGGAGGCAGGGTGCTTGTTGGGTGTGAATTGGCGTAGCTGCATTGAATTCAATAGGGTCACAATGATTTACACCATCTGGATCTGACCCTGTGTGTCTATTTTGGTCCTCTCTGTTCGTGGTTTAAACACTTTCTGTTTAATCCCCTTCTTTCACAGGGTCAGTGTGCAGAGTACCCGCACAGGGTAAGTCGTTAGCGTTATTATCGTCTGTCCCGTGCCTTCCTGCATGTTAATCCTCCTTTGTTTGAATGGCTTTTTGTTAGAAATATAGATTGTTTCATTAACAAGATGCATCATCAGGGCCCCAAGGGCAGTGCTCAGCTGATTGATGTATTTCACAGAAAAGCAGCAGATAAGGTTTTCCAGGAGGGATGTTGGTTCTCCGGTCTGTTCCTGCCCACCGGGGCTGACCCCAGCTAAATGTTGTCATTGCTGCTTCCTGGAGACCCTCCCATGCTCTGTGTCGGAGCAGGGAAGGTTCGTATCCTCACCCCCGAACCCAATGAAACCTGGGGTTTCTGGAGGAGTAGAGATCACCTACTCACACCTTGTGCTGCTGCATCAGCTCCATCCTGCTTCCACAGCCTCTGCTGCGGTTGCATGGCCAGGAGCAGTGCAGGGTTTGCAGACCTTGGGGAAACCCTATCATCATTCCTCCCTTTTTCTTCTCCCTCATGCCGGCCTCAACTCTTCATAGAGACAAGAGGAAGGGTCGTGTTCCCTGCCCGAAAGTCACCCTGACCACCCCTGGCCACGGTGCTCTGGCTGGTCCCTGGTGAGCTGGTCCCCATGCCAGTCCCCCAGCCTGGTGGGCTTTCCGCCTGAAAAGAAGAGGTGGAGAGGGAGGGTTGATAGCAGCATCTGTTTAATGAAAGCCAGGATGTTGCTCCACTTGCCTCTTTGTCCTGGCCTGGCTGGCATGTACTGCAGCCAAGAGAGGAGAGAGTACATCATGGGGTTTGAGAGGATTAGAGGGGAAAAATTTAACCAGCTCTAAAAACAACTGGAGTGCTGAAAATCCACTGGAAATGTGTTGGAACGACATCATATGAAGTGGCTGGAATTTATAATCTGGGTGTACAGGGAGACAGGCTTAAGGGCTTTCTGTTTATTTTTGACGGGCCTCTGGACAATTAGCTGGGCTCTGGTCCCTGGCCTCGAGGGAGCAGGGCCCTGGATGCTCTGTGCGGCAGAGGCAGGGGAGAGAGCTCGGCTGGCAGGGAGGGAGAATGGGGGCCATCGGTATGTGCCAGTCTGGTACAATAATAGCCAGTCAGCTGTGTTTATTTAGGCGAGCCGGCTCACTAGATTGTTATGTTAAAAAGAAACTAACAACAGTGTTCACCCGAGAGGTGTCCTGGGTTCCTGTTACAGCCCTTGGCTCCGACTGTTCTCGGTGCTCAAGGTGAAAAGCAGCAGCAGGACCCGCAGCAAGACTGGGAAACAGAGATGCAGATTGTGCATCACTGGGAGTAGCCTGGGTTCAGTCCTGGGGGCAAAGGCCTGCTGGTTTGGTGGGTCGGGGTTGTAGGCACCCTGGGGTGACACGTCGCGGGGCTGTGACAGTGAGGAAAGGGCTAGTGCAAAGTCTCACATCCCAGCAAAGCCTGGCGACGTTTCCTAGAGGTGCTTCTGGTCTCATGAGGCAGCAAGCTCAGTATTTTAAAAAGCCCGTGAGTTGTTCCAAGGCAAAGACGTGCTGATGGGAAGGGTGACTGTCCTCAGATCAGCTCAAGGGTGGGCTGTCCGAAGGGTCTGGTCACAGATGGAAATCAGCCAACAGAGGTGCAGTTCCCTCTCTTCCTCCGAAAATGAAAATTAGGATGAGCTTTGTTGTAAAAATGCTATGCATTTGAATTGCAATTTATTCTTGCTTTACTGGTTGACAAGGTCCTTTGTCAGATGTTCTGGGCACGGAAATGAAAACCAGCATCCTGAAAAACCAGGGATGTTGTTTCAGTTTTGTTTCGTCTTTGTTTTCTTAGGAAGGAAACGTAAGGTTAGGATGTATGCCTTGGCTCATGTTGTAGTTTCCTATTTTTTTCCTGTCCTGAGTCTGTATGGCCTGCACTGCTGTGAGGGACGAGCCCAGGCATGGGGCTACCTGTTTGGTGTGCGCTGGCTGTTTGAGCTGCTCCAAAGTGCTGCCCTGGGGAAGGGCGTGCAGCTCGGGGAAGAGGGGGACCAGCCATGTTCCATCTGCTCTCAGAGATGCCGTGTGTCTGACTGACCCTGTTTGTGTCCTGTGTCTTCGTTGTCCCCTAGGAATACCTAAGTACCACCCTTGCAGCCCTGCGCTCTAACCAGATCCTTACGTTAAAGGTTTGTGGGTAACGGTCTGATGGGACCCAGTTCTGATGCAAAGGCACAAGGATGCGGATCCAATATTGCATGCTGCCTTCTGAAAAAAACCTTGCCATTGGGACACAGAGGAGGCAGGGCAGGAGCTGGGTGCAAGAAGCTTCAGGTTTCTTCTCTAAACTCGCCCACTTGCACCTGAATCTATTGCTGGGTCTTGTCTCTCCTCTCTTTTCAGGACTGCTTCCCTCCATTTCCCTCCTTATCGTTTCCTGCATCCTTCCTCTGGCTTCCTGTAGGCTGCATAATATTTCAGATAGACTTCAGCACTTGAGGAGCTATGTGAAGACAGCTCAGCTAGGTCTCGGTCACTTGTACAGAGACGCTAGGCACACCTAGCATGGGGGTGTGGGGATTTACAGCAACGTCCCCCTTGAGAAGATCGGTGCAGTCCTGAATGCTCTCCTGGGGCCTCCTGCACTGTCTTTTAGAAAGAGAAGGATTTCCTTCAGGTAAAATCAGCCCTGCTGGTTTTCCAGCAGCACTGCTTTTGTTGTGATAGCTTGTGGCTATCTGGATAAGTGCATTTGAACACAACGCCCCGATCACAGGGCAGTGATGCTGCAATATTGGGTTGCCACGTCACTTTGCAACAGGACTGGATCCTCTCTTTTACTGCAAACATGAAGAATGATGTTTAAAGGAATTAAAGTGCGCTGCTTGGATGTGTACGGTTACTGTGGCGGGAGACCTGTGGGCACACCTCTCAGGTCTGAGCTCACACAGGGAAATGTTGCACACAGGGGCATGTTTTTGAGCCTGAGCACAGAATGCTTCTTTCTCTTCTCCCTGTGTAAATCAAGAGCAGCTTCAATGGAAAACCGATAGGAACAGGAAAGTGGATCGGGCCAGAGAAGCATTCCTGGGCCTGGAGCCGGCACGGTGGGTGCCAGGCTGGCAGCAGCATGCATGCAAGTGGAAACTGGATACAGCAGAAGGATGAACAAATGCTCCTGAGCTTTAGTGCATTTGATTTCTGTGTGTCCGGGTCAGCTTTGTGCCCTAAGGCAGCATTCCTGGCTGTGAGCAGTCAGAGGCTGATGTTACTGTTAAACGAGGAAAAGCAAAGCATGGGCTCCCAAGGCTCCAAATACCTTGCTGAAGGCTCAGAGGCACCAAGGTCTAGTGTTCTCCCTTGGCCGTGGTGGCTGTGTCTGCTCAGCTAAAAGTGAACCACACCAGGACCTGTTTGCTGCTGCTGACCCTAGCGAGCCTCTCTCCACTCCCTTTGACACGCTGAGGAAGGGTGAGGCCCGGAGATACAGTGTTTCTTGTAAAGGAAGATGGAAAGAAATAGGAAACCATACTTGGAAAACTTGGAGAAAATTGGCATTTTGGTAGTTACCTCAAATCTGATGATGAGAAACAGAGACAGTCCTGTCACCAGAGAGCTTAGCAGAGCCAGTGGGGGGGATGTCTTGCAATACTGCCTGAGGAGAGCAGTGGAGCTGAGTCAAAAAATCCCCTGGGTAAGTTTTATTTCTGAGTAGAGAAAGCGGTAAAAGCTTTGTGCGGTGGGAGCACTGGGTTGGCGAGTGACCACCCTGCACCTGCCAGGGCTGGCACGTGGCAAGTCCCCCTGTGAGCAACACATGGTGTGGGGGAGCTCAGAGGTCTGCCGGCAGGTACCCGTGCCACGTGTCCTCTGCACGCAGCTCTCACGTGAGAGTTTATTTTCATGGCAATTTCTCTGTTCCCCTCTTCTCTGTTCTCTCCCCTGGCTGCTCTCTGACTCTCGGTGCCCTAATGGCCTCCTTTGCCCCGCGACCTTCTGGTTTGATCTTCTTCAGCTGTTGCCTCTCCTCAATTCAGTGCGGCTGGCTCCACCTCCGGTCATAAAGAGACGCACTTTCCAGGTAGACTTCTCCTCCTTGTTGCCTGTTTCTAAGCCTACCCCGGTGCTTGCAATTAATCAGCTTGCTACCTGTCTGTCTTCCCCTGCAGAGGGGTTTCCAAGAGGTTTGGACAGAGCTGAGGGACTTTCTTTGAAGTGGAGGAAATCTTTGATGTGATAATGTGGTTAAAAAGAAATGCAGCGAAGCCAGTTTTTTAAACTAAAAGAAATGGGCCATGAAACTGTTCTTGGGACCGTTGACAAGCAGCCTCCTACCTTAAGGAGTCAGTTCCTGCATATTCAATCTCCAGAAGAGGTTAGAAACTTGCTGAAATTGCAGCTAATGTCTGCAAAATTTAACAAAGATGAATGAATAAGCAAGCACTTCTTCTAACGGCTAGTCTAGTCTGAGACACTTGGGAAAATGTGTTTAAATAAGCTCTTATAATGGTTTCATTAAATTGCATTAAATCTTTGTGTAAACACATTTATTTTGGTTTCCAGGGCCATAATTCATGTTTAGTTCAGTTTATTTTGGGAATGAATTCATAAAACGAATTATGGACATATGAACAGTGAATAAGAGTGTCCATAGTCAGAGTTCATGTGGCTTTTGATGAGCCCACTTTAAGCTCCCTCATTCCATCAGTTGGGATTAACTTTCCCGTGTGGACACACCGCTGTAATTACCCTGCTGAAGTGTGCTGGGCACCCTCTATTAAGTGGCTGGGTTTTGTCACCCTGCTGCCTGTCTAGACAGTCCGATGCTAGCAGGAAACTGCAGTCTGCAATACAGGCCTTTACTACGAGGTGCCTGGTCTTTGCCTGGTGCTGGCAAAACCCTGACCTTATCACTTGAGCCTGTGGTCTCGATTCATTTTCTATTGGTTGAGCGTTTGCACCACACAAAGCCCCATGGCTTGCGCTGGTTGCCCTTCAAAGTGACAGTCTGGAGAGCCAGGCCAAGGACCGACCTCTTGGGAAGGCTTTGAAAGCTGAAGTGCATATCCAGGATGAAGTGGGAAACTTGAATAGTTGCCCCACGTCCTGTCGTCAGCCAGGGCAGCAAATTCCCTCTGTCCCCAGAGGCTAACTTCACCAGAGAATTTTGCCATGATTGTTTTTGTCGTTGCTGTATTCATTCTCTAAGTGCAACAAAGTGTAATCCACTCCTACAGATCTGCCAGCACCAGGCAATTCCAACAGCCCAATGTATGAATGCTAAGAAAAAATGCGAGGCTGCGAAATAAATGTTAGCACCAGCACCTGAGAGAGGAAAATCCTGCTGCTGCCTCTGAGCACATCAGCAAGAGTGCTTTGCCCAAGGGCTTGGGCTTAGCAGAGCCATGGGCTGAGTGGAGACCTATGTTAGGACGTTGAACAAGCATCGCATTGCTGGGGGACAATCAGGGTGGCTAACTGGTGTTTAAAAGAACTGAAAAATAGCTCCAGTGAATGGCTAAAAATATAGAATGACATCTGATGAAAATGACTGGAGCATGGACTGGGCTGACAGAGAGTGGCTGAAGTGGGAATAGAGGAGGGAGAGCCGAAGGGAGACAGGCAAAGCCACCTTTGCCTTCCCATGGTGCGCTCACGGTGGGGTGCTGTAAGATGTACGCACCCTTTCGTGCACCTGTGATGCAACGGAAGGGCAGTCTTTCAAGCTGGGCCGAGAGGGCAAGAGGAAATCTAGAAATATACTCCGGTGTCCTCCAAACCTCTTGTCTTCATTGTATCCACATTGCCTCCGAAATTTAAAAGCTATGAGACCGTTTACAGGACTGTTGAATAGCACTGAGCATGGAGGATAGGGAAGCTCAGGAACGATCCTGTCCCCCCTTGCATGGGCCACAGGGTGAGCCAGGATCCACTTACAAAATGAGGAAAAGAGAAGGCACCTTCTCTGCCTGGCCCAGCAGGCTTCCTTCCTGGCATGGGCTGTGGGTTGGGCAGCGAGGCAGCGGCTCTCTTGAGGAGAAAGGCTGTTGTTCCACACATGACTGAGCTTCCCGTGAGCCTGGCCTGCCTGTTGGAAATTTTCTTTTAAATAGAGCTCATGGCAGAAGTGATGAAATTTGCAGCTTATTACTTTTGTTTATCATTCTAAATAAAGCAAACATCCCTGTATCTGCATGTTTTACTAAAGGCAGCTAGGATAAACAGCACACTTGGTAGGAACACAGGCAAAGGACAGATTTGATGTGTTTCCCTGCACACGCGAGTGTGTGAGATCGGACTTAGTTTTACCCAGCAGCAGCGTATAGGGCTGTAGAGAGGATAAACGCAGCAGAGACCCAACTGCACACCCACTGATTTATAATTGCGAAAAGACCGTGTTTGATTTCTAGCTTCCTGTGGATCCACCAGAAAGAGTTTTTCACATTTAAATCGGGTCACTGGCACTAGGTTGTCGTGATATTTTATCTAGGGAGAGGGAATGGGAGGGGAGCGGGTGAGGCTAACAGCTTAGCGTGGGTGCCACGGGGCCTTAGGAGTTTGCTGGATTCATCAATTATAGATCAGCAGTCTGGTATTCAAACGTGGCGCTTCCAACCCACTGTCTCCTCAGCGCCGCTTGGTCCCAAGACCAGGTCCTTTGGGCCAGATGACATTGCTGAGGCATGAGCTGCAGCCGCTGAATGGCTACTGAGGGGCCTGGGGAGGAACCGGCTGAAACGGCTTCATTTCAGAGAGCTTAAAATGGCAGGTGGCTCTGCACGCACTAGCTTGTTAAATCTTACAAAAACAGGCTCTTCCTGGCGTATGTAGGCCTGTTTTGGGTAGGCTCCAGAAATGCCATGATGATCATGTTATTTTCTTTTGGTTTTGTGGCGTTTCTACTTTTGGTCCTTGGGAAAACAGAGAGAGTGTTGTCCAACAAATATAGCACAGGGGAAAAAAAAACTAGGCTGAGGTAAGACACTGTGGCTCTGCCTGGAAGTGCCAGTGTGGTCACGGGAGGCTTTGCTCCACATATGACTGTCAAGTGCTTTGAAAAGCCTCCTGAGAAGCTCAAGAGATGTTGGGTCTTGACATATAAATTGTACTTGACTGACTCATGAAGAAGAAGTTCTCTTTGGGCTGCTTAGTCATCTGTAGATCCTTTTTAAAGAGAACTCTGACAAGGTGGCCTCAGATGTCTTTGCAAACTGTAGGGTTCTGGCTCCTGCCACCCAGGCAGCCCAGCCCTCCTCAGAGGGGCTCTGCCTTACTCTTTGAAACCTCTCCTGGCACTAACCTGGGACTTGCTTCTACCTCTTCTGCTTCAGCTAGGCTGACCTGCCTTGGGCCCTTGGGGTGGTGGTGTGAAGGGTTTGCTCTGCCTGCTGATAACCCCTTATTTTAATGAACCTCAGGGTGAACAAGGACAAGCAGGAATCCAAGGTCCCCCAGGGCCCCCTGGCCCACCAGGGCCCACTGGACCACCTGGACCCGAAGGAACCCCAGGACAGCCTGGGCCAATTGGGCCGCCTGTAAGTCCAATTACAAAAAAAAGTCTTCTGCTTCCTCTTTCCCGGGGGTGCAGACAATTTCCTCTGGCCTTTATTGCCTCTTCTGAAGCCAAGATAGCCACAGACAGGAGATTTGCAGAGGACACGGATGTGTGGGGAGGAAGGGGGAGCGGGAGGGAAGGCGGAGGTGTGTGCCCTGCACTGTTGCTATCTGGACACGCACGTGTGAGCGGGTGACACCAGGCCAGTTTCCTCCTCCTCAGCCTCTGCAGACGGTCACGGGGAGGAAGTAACATGTGGGGTGTAATTATCCTGCTCACAGCAGAAACCTGACTGATAAGAATCCCTGCCACCCCTTTGAAGTCCTGCCTCCATCCTGTTCTCAGGCTGGTAGCAAGCAGCCAAGGAGGGCAAAACCAGAAGCACCATTTAAAATAATACCATTGTTAAATGGCAGGGGACAGGGCAGAAAATCCTGCTAATGTACCTCTCTTTTGCAACAGGGCAGAGCAGGAGAACCTGGGAAGCCTGGCAGAGATGGAAAGGTGGGTACCAGAAACCAGCTCCGTTCCTAGAAGCTGTGGGGAGAAACAGGGCACGCTGGCCCTGCAGTGACTGCTGCGTGAATGGAGTTTCCACCTCCAAAAGTTTTCAAGGACTGCTAGCAGGATAAGCACGTCCTGTCCCCTGAGGCAAAAGTGCCTCTCCAGGCAGGATAGAAGGGTCGGGTGTCCTGTAAGCATTCTCATCTGTCTTTGAGCTCTAAGGACCCAAAGATGTGATGATTAAACATTTGAATTGCCATAAGCAGGCAATACCAAGGGTAGTACAGGCATTGGAGTGTAAACTAGAGTAGTTTTCTCCTTTTGTCTGCTCGCATCAGCAAGGCAGCTCCTGTATGGATATTTTGTTTATTTATATTTACATACACACGTATCCGGTCTACTTCATGGTTCATATCAGGTAAATTGTTTGGTTATTTCTCATTTAAAAACATAAGTGGTTTGTTTGTTAAAATATTCTCTCTATTTAGTTTGTCAGAGGAAGCTGCAAACGCCTGATTTACTCCAGAGCTGCACAGTGGGCTGGGAACAAGTTTTCCAAGCAAAGCCAGAGAATTCTGGAGCAGAATGCATAAGGCAAAGCAGCTTTTTGGTCTTTAGATTCAGCGAGACCAGGCCTGGGGGGATGGAGCGCTATGGGCATGGATTTATTTGGGAGTGTGGGTTAGGATAGTATTCATCTACATAAAGGATAGATCGGGGATGTTTGAGCTTACAATTTTTTATCTCTCTGCTTTTATCTACAGGGCTTACCTGGGCCTCCTGGACCAAAGGTGAGATGTCTGGCCTCACTTAAGGGGAGCAAGGTGGTAAACAGAGAGGTGGATGCTCCTGGCAAGGAGAGACATGTACAGTTTAATGGGTGGAGGTGGAGGGAAGCAGGTTACATCAAATAGCTGGAAAAGATTTCTAAGCCAGCTCACTATTGCTTTTGGGGTCCGGCCTGTGTGCTGACTCATGGGTTTTGTCCAGGCGACACGTCTGAGTTGCATCTTGACTGAGCAAGGCACGCCTCGTCAGCCCCTCTTGCAAAATTCTTTGCCACACACAGCTTTATTGGCTTCTTCCACTCTCAAAGCCTTTACCAGTGCTTCAGGAACTGATTTTGCAATGCTATTGTTAACTCCACCACAGTTTCCCATTTATTCACTTGCCAAAATGCGAGTGGGGAAGTTGTTGTTGTTTTTCAGCTGCAGCCACCCACCCCCCTTTGATTTTATTTGAGATATTTGGCCAGGGTGAGGAGCTGGGGCGCAGAGCTGGCACGAGTTACTCAGTTGCCAGTGCTTATTGCACCTTTCCTGCTGGGGCTGGGTCCAGTGCAGGTAACAGTGACCCACGGGTCTGAAGGGGTCAGGGACTCAGTGGAGTCATGCTGAGCAAAAGGTGACTTTTTCCCCATGGAGTGCCCTTTCATCCCAGCATCTCCCTAGGGAAAAGGGCAGGGATTTGTCCTTCTCAGGCCAAGCCTCACTCTCTTTTGTCTTTTTTGCCTTTTGCAGGGAGACCCTGGGATTCAGGGATACCCTGGCAGAAAGGTAAGAAGGGGAGTTCCAATATTGTTAAAATGAATTAAGCTGCACTGATACCTTGTGGGATCATGGCTGCGAACCTGTGGTCTCCTCTGGAGCCCTCTGCTGAACTCTGCTCCTACGGGACTCGGGGCTGTGACAGGCTCACAGATTGCCTGCTGGCACCCACGTAAGGAGAGGCTGGACCCAGAGATAGCTTTAACTGTTCAGTAGCTATGGTACAGACATCTCCCTGTCTGTGTGCTGCTCTACACCCACTTCCAGGCTGAAATACACCTCTTGTGCATCCAGACCTCAGCAGAAGGCTGGAAAGGGCCAAATCCCTGGGTAGGTATTGCTCCCTGGAATAAAGCAGGGAAGAGTGGATCCTGCTCCAGGTTAAAAGGTAGAAGCTGGCAAAGCCCAAATGTCTTCAGCAGCAGCTAATTAATGGCAGGGTTGTCAAGCCCAGAGGATGTAATGAAGAGACAGAAAGAGAGAGGGGGGAAGGACACAAAGGAAGATCAAAGAGGGGAGAGGGAATGAAGAGATACTGCTGAAGAGATGTCAGCTGCAGAAGGGGAAGGCGCATATTCCCAGCAGGCAGGAATCCTGTGTCCCGCGTTATCTCCATGTTACTTTATGGGTGCTCTGTGAGCAAAATGGCAAGACCTGAGAGCTTTTTAATTAGTTCTGTATAAACTGAGAAGTTTTTGTTATGTCAGGAAGTGGAAATTATAGCCCCCATGGCCCACAGCCCACTCCCGGCGACAGACACAATTTATTGCCTCTTCTTCCAGTGAACCGTCGGTTTTTCCATTAAGAACCCATCCTGTTCTGCGTGCGCTGGGCGGGAGGCTGTCAACACAGAGGAGCAGTGAGGGGGTCCCTGCAACGACCTTGCAGTGAGGGCCTCTCCTACAAGCTCCTCTTACATGAAACAACTTGTCTGGCTAATTTACTTACCAAGCAAAGAGCCTGCGCTGATCTTGGAGGAATGAGTCTGAGGTTGTGACCTTTCTCTGGGAAAGGTGGAAGGAATGGATGAAAGTAGGGGAGAAAATCCTCCCCGGTGAGTGGGTCAGGGGAAAGGGAAAAGAGGGCAAAGAGTTGAGCAAAGATGTTAGCTCTGATATGATATAGGATTGTGGGACCACTCCCTTCAATCCATACATTTCGCACTCCACATATCTTTCTTGATGCAGAATGGTGCTCCTCTCCCAGAGAGCCCCAGATAGTAGGCTGGTGTGTGGTGGGCACCTCTGTGCTGGACATCCCTCTCACATCTTTGCTGACCTTGCAGGCAACTCACAGACTCCTTTTCTTGCAGCTCACTGTGTTCGCTGCTTCCTCCGTTTTCTTTTTTCTCTTCCTCAGGGTGAGGTGGGCGAGTCAGGCCTGCCCGGTGCTCATGGCGTCCCTGGAGCTCCTGGCCCCAAGGTAACCCTTAAATGCAGAGTCATTGGGGCCATCTCCCAAGGGCAGATAAGTGGCAGACAAGCCTAGAGACATGCTAAAGGAATACAGAAGGTCAGGGGCTGAAAGCAGTTCTGTAGAGCCCAGTATAAGCCATGTAAACAGAAAAATTTGCTCCTGTGTAAAGTGCCTGGGCAATTTTTGGCCAGAGTGATTCCCCGCTGTCCTGAAGCAGGGCCAGGTGTGGCCACGCCCAGGCCCCTGTTAAAGAATAAAACTGACCCGGCCTTTAGAGGCTTTTGCATTAAGGCTGAGAGAATGAGGATACTCTGGTCCATGAAATGGTTTGATGGTTTGTCTACACCCTAAACATGTAGGAAAGCACTAGTATGGGTGACCACCAGTATCCACTCCAGCAATTTGAACTGCCTTGCATTCCCAGGGAGGGGTGGCCAGTGCTCAGGCTGGTACCATGTTATTATCAGGAGCCAGTGCTCTCTTGGAGACCTAGAACTGCATTTATCGCACACTCCCTCCATTGACTACTTTCTCTTTGGCCCTCGCTGTTAACGATTGTCCTGCTTGCTTGACTTCTCTTCATGTTCACTGTCCCTCTCTCTGTTTCCTCTCTCTCTGTTCTTCGCTGGACAGGGTGAAAAAGGGGACGCTGGCATAAAGGTAGGCATGAGAAATACGGTTTTCTATCACTGTAGATCATGTGGGAGATAACTGCTCCTTGGGCTGATGGGTTGTAAGAGGCAGTTGGGTCTGAGGCAGCTCTGTGGGGTATTTAATGGAGTACGCATCTGTGCTCTGATTAACCACAGACAGACACTCCGAGCTCAGGCAATAAAAACAGCCTTTATCCATTTGGTGGAATTCGATTCTTACCAAAGGCATTTCTCTGACTATGAAGCTTGCTAATGATTTGTTACATCTCTCCATTTGATGGGCTGGGCTGGGGTTTCCTCATAAAATCTGGTTAGCTGACGCATCAGATCCACTCAAACTCTGCAACTCAGGCTGAGGTTTGGCACCAGGCTTTTCTGTCTGTTTCTGGACACTTTTTACAGGCTCATATGGTCTGTGCCCAGATGTTATCTGACTGAAATTTACTGTACCCATATATTTAAAGTATATTACTCAATGTAGACCGTGCTTAAAACATTACAACATTGGCAAGTGTTCATGACAGTCATGCCATACGTCTTAAACATCAGGAGAAAAGACTCGTCCTGTAATATTTTGAAAGGCATTAACAGTGACACATACATTTCAAGTATTTAGCATCTGGCATGCATCTCATTTATTGTGCAGCGTATACACTTTCTATATAGTAGATTGCTATTTGAAGGGAGAAAAGGCCTCTTCAGAACTTAACATGGATGTGTGTTACATCAAGTTTAAAGAAATGTTCTTTGGGAACGCAGGCTCTGCGTTAGGAGTTGAATAGAAGAGCAGTGATTGTCCTCCTACGAGAAAACAATAACCTGGGGTGCATATAAAGTCCAAAGGTTCCTCCATGCCCATCTTCACATCAGCGTAATTCCATCAAGCACAAAGGAATCGCCTTTGGTTTGTGCCAGTGTAAATGAAAGCAGAATTGCACTCAGATCTAATGTGTTTTGGGGGCCAGGAGTTTGTTCGCTGCTGTCTCAACAGCCAAGTGCTCTCCCACTAAGCTGAACTGGAGGACTGAAGTTGGAGCATGGTCTGGGAGGGAGAAAGGGCTGGAAGGAATGAGAAGCTGCCTTCCACCCCTGCTTATACTCCCACATTTCACTGCTAGCAGACACCTGCTCTGCTTGACCCATGTACAGTGACTTGATTTGGGCTCTGCCAAGGGGGAAGTCTCTAAGTCTTTCAGTGGTATCTCAAGGTCATCCACGTGTGAGAGCCTTCCCTGTTCTGCGTTAGAGAGCAATGACGCAGGCTGACCCCGGAGACATGCTTTTGCTACTTGGGCCCTTATCCCACTTTGTAAAGAGTGGAGATGAAACCTATCACACTTTTTGGGGTACTAAATCGCAGCTCCAAAGGGGTACCTCCCCAGTCCCATAGCAGCCTCTTCTTTCACACACAGACTTCCATTTGTTAGTGTCAGGATCACTTTTCTCTTGACTTCCTTTCTTCTTTGCTCAGAAGACTTGCAAGGGAAGTGCAGAGGTACCCTTAAATCAGCAGCCAGACATCACCCAGTAGCAGCCCCTGAACATATGCACAGTGCATACATCTGTTGTCTTTGGAAATGGCTTTTTCCTGTCATCCTCCCACCTAGGAGGATTGTTTGAGACTCTGGAAGGCTATTGATGTTACCACCTTTGGATCCAATTACCTGGGCTGGATTTTACCTTCCGTTTGTTTTGGGGAGCCCAGGACAAATACTATGATTCATAGTTTAGCTGTAGTGACCAATTTTGCGTAGCATATCACTGCTTTGGCTGGCACTGAAGAACATTTCAGGCCTGAAGAGGCTTGCTGGCTTCATACAGACCCCTTGTTCACTTAATAACCTCTCCTCACTCAGTGACACATGCAGCACAGCATAGATTGTCTCTTAGCTATTTTCTTCTGTGGCCACCATTTTTGCTTTGATCATATTGAGACCTACATCTGTGTCCCATGAAGGTCATTAGACAACCAGTAAGTGTGATCACCTGGGTGATTTGAATAAGCATTTGACCTCAGCCTAGCCATCACATTCAGCTTTACTGACTTTTTTTTATTTTTTTATTGAAAGGTCCTTAGGATGAGGCTTTTTGTCATGCTCTGAGGAAAGAGCAATAAAGAAACTGCCCACAGCCTTGCTCAGTAACTCCCTCACAGTCTGCCTTTCACAGCAAGAAGGAAAAATGGAAGGGTCTCTGTTTTAATTAGCAGACTGTAACCAGTCCTGCTAATGAGCTGATCAGCTCTCTGATGATTGGCACCGAGGGAGTATAAAAGCTGCCCACACCAGGTGTATTGTCTGTGCTGGAGGGGGAAGGAAGCTGAACTCTTCCAGAGAGACTTTGGAGCATGGAGGTATTTCCTATATCAGGTCAGGAGAGCTGGGAGATGCTGCTGACTACCTTCCTTGAAGTCCCTGGGGACACATGCTGGGCGTTTTGCCTTTCATATCTGCCTTTGGTGATGTCTCCCAGCTTCTGGCTTGGCTGTACCATTCCAGTGCTGGTTTTGGTGGGTTGCTGTTGCCTGGCTATGGCACTTTGTGCAGCCCTTCTCAGGCCCAAAGGGCACTGGGGGATCATGAAGGGATCGACCCAGTAGGTGCTTAATGTATTACAATGGCTTTCCTGTATGTAAGGGTTTAAAGATGTTCTTGAGAGTTGTTTTTCCTCCTTATTCCCTGGCTTTGGCTCTGGGGCTTCCTTCTGCTCTTTAATGGTGCAGTGTTGTGTTTGTTGCTCCTGCTGTCTAATTAGCTCCGGTGCCTGCGTGACCCTGCCGGTGCCAGTGGGGGCTATGCAAGCCAGCTGAGGCCGTCATCAGAAAATGCAGGGTAGTGCTGTTGCTCTGTAAGTTGCCCCCTGTAAGGGGCTACCTTGCTCCCTCTTACTGAGGTCACTTTTCTTTTGCAGGGCTAAATAGTGAAACAGCTCTTCAGGCAA